CGGGGGGTGAGCGACCTCAGCCCCGACACAGGAGGGCTCTTAAGCGAATCAAGGTGGGGAAAGGAACAGGCGACACCCGGAGAGGTCGGAAAGGGGGGCGACGGCGATCAGCTAGGGGTCAGAGTCGGAAGGTCCCGGACCGCCCCTCTCCCCTCTCCGCCCCCAGCAGGCCCCTCTCTCCGGCCTGACGCTCACCGTTTCGGGCCAACAACCTGGCTGTCAGTTCCGGCTCCTGCGAAGAGAAGGAAAGGAGATCAGGGAGGGAGGGAGGACCCCACATCCTCATCTCCGGAACGGGCCCCCGCGCTCACCCCACCCTCCCGGGGCAGCCCGGAGCTCGGCGCGCAGGGAGCAGAATGAGAGAGTGGGGTTTCCCGCCGCCCCCAGGAATGGGGCCCCCTGGAGGCCGTGCGGAGAAGGGGGCACCCAACGTCCCCGGGAAAAAAGGAGGCTCCCAAGGAGTTAGCCAAGGAAGCCGGGGAGGGGGCGGCCGCCCGAGCTGGGGCGAGGGGGTCCCTGCGTCCAGGGTCCGGCGCACTGGATGCACGCGGGGGGGGGGTGCGTCCTCAGTGGGGCTCTGGAGCCCTGAAAGGTGGCACCACAGGACCGCGCCTCCCCTAGCCCGGCGTGCAGATGGGGGAGCAGTCCCCCACCCCAGAGCTGGGCGGAGAAAGCGGGCCGGCGGGGGCCGGTCCCCGGCGCAGGGGAGAAGGGCCCGGGGCGAGGAGTCTCACCTCCGTGGGTCCCGGCTGGACACTCGACGCGGAGCTCCGGTGGAGCCCCCGGCTGGGCGCGGGGCTGGCGCCCGGCGCGGCGAGGTAGGGAGCCACCACCCAGGTGCCGATCGCTGCGCCCCCGGCCACAGCCACCAGCAGCGCCGCGGCGCCCAGGCCCCAGCGGAGCAGGCGGCAGGCCGGGGAGAGCGGCGCGGACGTCCACGGGGCCTCGGGATCCGCGGAGAAGTCAGGGCGCGAGCTCATGGCCGGCGACAAGTGCGCTGCTCCGCCCCGCGCGCGCCTTTTAAACTCCCGTGAAGCCCCGCCCCCTACCCGTCCCCGGAAGCTGCGCTCTGAGGACCCGGACGGCCCTCGGGGATCCCGGCCACGCCCGCCGGTCCCCGTGACCGCCGGAACTTTCTCCTGGGCTGGTCCGACTCACTTTTCCCTTCCAGCCCCTCGGCTCCTCGGTTCCTCGACCCTCATTTCTTTTTTCTTTTTCTCTTTTCTTTTTTTTTTTGTTGGTACCAGAGATCGAACTCAGGACCTTGCGCTTGCGAGGCAGGCGCCGGAACCCCTGAGCTAAATCCCCAGCCGCGCCTTCCTTTCTCCCTACCCCACCCCCATTGGCACAGGCAGTCACGCGAGTTGCCAGGGACGATGACACACACCTGTCATCCCAGGATTCGGGGAGGCTGAGGCGAGAGGATTCGAAATTGAAGCCCACACTGGGCAATTTAGTAAGGCTGGGTCTCAACCTAAAAAAGTTAGAAAGGGGGCTGGGGATTTAGCTCAGTGGTTTCGCCGCCTCCTGGGCAAGCGCAAGGACCCGAGTTCGATTCCCAGTACCAAAAAGAAAGAAAGAAAGGGGTGGGTATGTAACTCAGTGCAAAGGCCCTGGGTTCAAATCATAATAATGGGTTCGGGTTCTCTCTCTCTGCGTGTCTCCTTCCCTGTCTCCCCTCTTTGTCTCCTTCACCTCTTTCTTGCCACCCACAACTCCCAGTAGCTGGGACTCCCCCTGGGTTCCCCCAAATCCAGTACTTTCTTGTTCATTTTGTTTTCAGTACTGAGGAGTGAACCCAGGACCTACACTGTGCTACATCCCGGCTCTTTTTTGAGATAGGATTCTAAGTGTCTAACTTGCCCCAGTTGAGCTCCAACTGGCAATCCTCATGCCTTAGCCTCCCAAAGTGCTTTTGCTGAAGAGTCGGGGGACAGCCAGGCCTCAACCACTCCCCCAAAAGCCATACCCGACACCCCACTCCCTGACTCACCTTTCCCAGGACGCCTGGGCCTTTCCTGCTCCTCCACCCCCACCCAGTTTCCGGATGCTTCCGGAGCGCTTGGGACCCCACAAACAGAAGCCTGGGGAGTCCACCTGGAGAAATCCCCTTTATAGCCAGAGTCTCTCGGAGGAAACTCAAATTTCCCGTTTGTTCCTGCCGGGTGGAGGCGAAGGGGAAGGAGGAGCAGGGGGCAGTCCAAAACCTAGCCTGGAAGAGGAATTGAAAGGTGAGAGGGGTGGGCAAGCCCTCCCGTGCCCAGGCCAGCAGGTGGACGTTGGCCAAGCCCTTCCCCCTCGGCCTCGCCTTCTGCATGGGGGTGGGGGGTGGGGGTTGGACTGATGACCACCCCAGCCCTCCTCCGCTGGAAGAAGGATGCGGCCCATAACTCAGGGGATTTCTCCTTCCACGCTGGGGCTCAGACACCGCCCCCCCCCAGCCACACCGGATGCCCAGCGTCAGGGTATTTGGGTGCCACTGAAAGCCGACCCTGCTTTGCATCCGGTGTCCAGCCTGGCTGGGGAATTACAGAGAAAACCGTCTCGATGTGTTCGTTGCGCATGGGGATCGTTACCATGAGCTAAGCAGTTGTGTTTTGTTCTGATTTTCAATGACAGGTCGCACCCAGCAGTCGAGAGCAACACCTGGAATGGAGCAGCTATGCAAATTCTAGCCCGGCACCCGCGGGACCCGAACATCTCCACAGTCACTGCCCGCGTCTGGCGGTCGGTCGCGGTCGCAGTTTGGTCCTCAAAAGAGCCCAGGACTCGCGGGCCCTGCGCGGGTGCCCTCTGCCTGCGCCCTGCCCCAGCTCTGAGGCGGGAACAGCTCTGCACTCACCGCCCTGCGAACTTCGCCGGCCGAGCGCCAGGCACTTTCGCTCTCTCCCCAAACCCCACCCTGTGACAGTTGGGCAAGTAAGGCTCGACCTACAGCTAGAAAGCAGCAGGGTGACGAACGCATTTCCTCCTCTGATGCCACCGCCCCCAAGCTCCGTTGTTGCAAACCCAACCCTAGGGCTGGGCATTTAGCTCAGTGATGCTGCGCAAGGTCCTGAGTTCAATCTCCACAACTGGGGGCGCGGGGGGGGGGCACCCCAGCCATGAGGGCTCAGGTAAAAGTAGGATTTGCTAGAAGTAAAAAAATTGCTGAAGACGAACTCTTCTCCTTTAAGGCCATCCCCCTCAAAGCTCCCTTTTGTGGACAATGATGATGCTTCTGGATTTTAAAAAATACGCTCAGGGGCTGGGGTTTTAGCACAGTGGTCCTGCTGCCTGCCTTGTAAGAGCAAGGTCCCGAGTTCCAGCCCCCAAAATAAATAAATAAATAAATAAATAAATAAATAAATAAATAAAATACAATCAAAATTAAATCTCTCCTCCTTAAAAAGAAAAAAAAAAGAAATACAATCAAAAGGCGAAAGAAATGTCAATGGAACTAAAAATGAATGTTGAACTTGAGACAGCACAGCAGGCCCCATCCCCCGGCCCTCACCCACACCCCGGACTCCAGGGACCCAGCTGCAGGGGCCTAGGGCCTGTGCCTAGAAGCTGACAGCCACAGGCCTCCGTCTACCATTTAGCTCCGCCCACCCCCAGGAGCGGCCAGAGGGATTGCCCAAGTGACAGAAGTGACAGGAACAGGAACAGGGAGGAATACAAGATCCCCTCTGATAACGGAAAGCATCCCTGGGCATCCGTGACCTCACCCCGCCCTTTTTCAAGGAGGTTCTCCAAGGCCGAACGCCCCACTCTGTTTGCTTGTGATTGTTTTCCTTGATAACTTGTGAGCTCCAGTAGGATGTTTATCCGCGTTATCACAGTGTCACACTGTGGGCCTCTGATAGTCTTTATGAGAGGAAGGAGGGAAGAGAAAAGCAGGGAAAGAAGAGGAGGGAGAGAAGAATGGAGGGAGGGAAAGAGGGAACGGGGATGGATGGGCGGATGAATGGAAATGAAAGAAAGGAAGGGAAGGAAAGTTGGATGGGTGGCGGGCGGGTGGAAGGGTTGATGAATGGGTGTAAAGGGAAGAAGGAAGAGAGGGAGGAAAGGAAGAGAACTGGTTAGAGCTCAGGCCTAGGGCTGGGGGTGAGGCCAGTAGAGCAGGTGCCAGGCCCTGAGTCTGACCCCAGCACCACAGAAAGTGAGGCTAAGAACAGCTCTCCGTGGTGGTAGGGAGCTTGCTGAGCACATTGCACAGCTCAGTAAGGGGAGCTGTCACCATAGTAACCACTGCCACCTCCCTACCCACCCCCAGCCCCATACCAGCACCCCCAAGAGGAGAAATTAAGAAATTAAGTCACAAAGAACGTGTCTGTCAAAGATGTTCATCGTGGCAATGTTGCTGGTGACAGCAAAAATGACCCACCAATGGAAGCAGCTGGTTTCACTGCTCAGGGGATTATCCTCAACCATCCAGGCCACATCAGTGCTCGGTATGCTTCTGTACTGGATTGCCATACAGCTCACATCGCTTGCAAGTTTGCTGAGCTGAAAGAAAAAGATTGATTGCCGGTCTGCTAAGAAGCTGGAAGATGGCTCCAAATTCTTGAAATCTGGTCATGCTGCCATCGTTGACATGGTTCCAGGCAAGCCCATGTGTGTCGAGAGCTTCTGTGACTATCCACCTCTGGGTCGATTCGCTGTTTGTGATATGAGACAGACAGTTGCCATGGGTGTCATCAAAGCAGTGGACAAGAAGGCTGCTGGAGCTACAAGGTCACCAAGTCTACCCAGAAAGCTCAGAAGGCGAAATGAACATCACCCCTAACACCTGCCACCCCAGTCTTAATCAGTGGTGGGAGACCAGTCTCAGAACTGTTTCTCCCAATTGGCCATTTAAGTTTAATAGTAAAAGACTGGTTAATGATAGCAATGCATCGTAAAACCTTCAGGAGGAAAGGAGAATGTGTTTTGTGGACCATTTGTTTTCTTTGTGTGTGTGACAGTTTTAAGTTATTAGTTTTCAAAATCACTTTTTTAGACTTTTATTTAAGCACAAATAAACATGCACATGAGCCGTCTACTCATTTTCTTCACTGCGCAGCCTGGTGTTGGGATTGGTAACTCGGATGGCCAGCTGGGCTGCTCTTTCCACGATGGCCTTTCAGTTCTTGGAGGAGACATTGTGAGCGATCTCTGCACAGTAAGACTTGTTGCACATCAGCAGCACCTCCAGTTCCTTGACACTGTGTACCAGAAACTTCCGGAAGCCACTGGGCAGCATGTGCTTTGTCTTTTTGTTGCTTCCATAACCTATGTTGGGCATCACGATCTGGCCCTTGAACCTTCTCCACACCCTATTGTCGATCCCTCTGGGTTTATGCCAGTTGCGCTTAATTTTGACATATCGGTCTGACTGGTGCCGGATGAACTTTTTGGTCCTCTTTTTGACGATCTTGGGCTTCACGAGGGGTCTGAGGGCTGCCATGGTGCTGAGTCAGAGACAGCTACCATCTCCGTAGGCAGCGCAGAGGAAGAGAAGAGCTCAAAATCACTTTTTAATGGAAACAACTTGACCAAAAATCTGTCACAGAATTTTGAGACCCATTAAAACAAAGTTTAATGAGAAACATGTGTCTTTTGGTCAACACAAAACTTCAGTTCTTTATAACCTCTTTCTGGTGTTAACCCTGAAACTAAATGAAAATATTCTGACTGCTTCATACCCGGGAATTAGAGGGGAAGGTACTGTTTTAAGTAGTAAAGAGGTATGGGGGAGGGCTGTTGATGGCACCAATTAATATAACAACACTTCAGTATTCTGTAATTTATAATTTAGGCTTATAAAACATGTTAAATCTCTCTCTAAAAAAAAATTAAGTCACAGCAGGATGGGGATTTAGCTCAGTGGTGCCGCTGCCTGCCTTGAAACCATAAGGTCCCGAGTTCAATCCCCGGTACCAAGAAAAAAAGAAAAAAAACCCAAACCAGGCTGGGGATTTAGCTCAGTGGTTTCACCGCCTGCCCTGCTGCACAAGTGAAAGGACCCGAGTTGGATCCCTGGTACCAATAAATAAATAAATAAATAAGTAAATAACAACAAC